CCAATCATGATACGAAATATAAGCCATCTGTATCCCCAAATGACAACAAGAGGTGTGGGTGTATGGACAGGAACTTGCTGCATTTTAAATACTGGACACAGAAAGATTGCCAAGAAACCTGTTTCAAGAAGCTGTGACTCCCAACCTGAAATAAAATAATCATCAAACCACAGTTAAATATACATGCAACCATATGCAGCATAAAACGTAACAAATCAATAACTATAGATGGCGAGTCACAATAATTTATTTTCAAACTCAAATCTTCAAAATAAAAAGAAATTATGCAGCTCTGTTAAAATAAAATGAAAATGAAGAAATCATCGTCGCAGTGAACGCAATTTATGCAATTGTGTAAAGAAGCCAGAAAAAAATTCAGGACTTCAACGGGGTTTGAACCCGTGACCTCACGATTACTGGTGTGATGCTCTACCAACTGAGCTATGAAGCCACTGACGTTGGAAGCAGGTCAATTGTGGGTTCATATGTTCCTGTGAAAGAAATGAGTGTTAATGATATATGAAATAAATCATATATGGACTATAGAAATGAAATGAAAATGAAGAAATGATCGTTGCAGTGAACGCAATTTATGCAATTGCGTAAAGAAGCCTGAAAAATATTCAGGACCACGTTGAAGTCCTGAGTTCATATGTGATTTATTTCATATATCATTAACTCAACTGAGCTGATCATAATTTCGAGTGACTGACAGACTTTTAAAACCCATGTATATTCCTACAACAGATCATCTCATTTGTCATTATCACGTAATTAAATAGCAATTAATTTTATACAACGACTTTACATTTGATACACGGTGTACAAATAAAAGCAAAGTAGAGTACATACCAAATGAATACCTTGCTCAAACATAATAGCAGTGAAAGAAAAATAGTATTAACAAAAGTCAGTGACAGATATTTTCATTCAACAAAAAATAGTTATTGTCTGCTAGAGCAGAGCTAACATCAATACAGTTATAACTAAGCACACGACTGACAAACAAAAATGAGCCCTTTTTAGCACATTGAATAAATAAGTCTAATTAAGAATGATAAACCATGTTCCAGTGAATGAGAAACTGCCCTGTTATCTTTAGTTAGGGACACAAAGTCTATTTCATTTCAGCCTTGCACCTATGACATGATAAACATCACTCTCTTTCATTTCAGCATGATCTACCTTCTAATTTACTACCCCTTATAGTATTTTTTTGTTACCACACTGCAGGGCACTTTCAACACAGCTACTAGTAGTTTTAGCAGCAAGCAGTTGAAGCATATTCACATCACATCAGGGGGTACAGATAACCTAGTAAAACAGACCTGTTCTGACTAATAGCTGGTAATTAAAGGGCCAGTGGAGAGCTGGTTCCTGGAAGGTCATGCATTAATTTATTTTATTAGATACAATTAACTCTAAGCTCTTACCACCTCTGTCCAATGTTGACAATAGAATGGTATAATACCCAAAGCAATGTCATGATAAACATATTAGCACATCCAAAGACCACAACAACTCCTGAGAATAACATCCCAGTATACGCTAGTAGATCCAAATGTTCGTCAATTCTACTTTTATCAGTGTAAAGAAGAAGAGTTGGAACATGAAGAATTTTCCTCCAGCTGGTATCTGAAAAGTGACTTTCAATCCTCTTCAAGTATAGGTCAGATGGAAGAAGTCCATTTTTGCCTAAAAGTTGTTTGTTCTGGTTAGCTGCAACGGCAAAGCCCACAACTGCAGAAAGAAAAAAAAAAAGACAAAACGGAAAAATCTGTTAAAAGCTACACACTATGTATGTGTCCCTTCCTGCATAACACTAGCTCAATTAAGAGAGACTAATGTTTATAGGTTCTCCTCATGTGGCTTTTAGGCAAGGCTATGCACTGGCAGCACCCAGTGGACCCTAGTGCCTTAACCCTGTAGTGTATTATTGTTGCACCTTCAAACTTAAGGCTTTAATTAGCTAAACTCTTACTATCAAGCTTACAGGAAAACATGGCAGCAAAGTGCAAAAGGCTAGCTCCTTAAAATACAGTCACTGAAAAGACACTGACTGAGACTGCAGGCTCAGAAGCACGGGTGACACAAAACCTAACAGTTCATAATGTCCATACATACAATTGTCTTCTATGCATCACATCAAACCCTATAACTTTTCCTTTTCAATTTCATGCCATGCAGGATATCAAAGAGCTGGTGTCAACAAAACATAGATTCGATCAGCCTCTGGGAAGTTTTATATTTTATCCTCACCCCCTAAAAAGTTGGCTGTAAATCAAACCCCCAATGAAATGAAATCAGAAAGAGTTCATTGTTATTTTTTGTTTGCACCTTTGCCTACATTAAAATCTGAAAGGTCCACCTCAATGTTGCCAGCTTCTTTGCAGATAGAGTCTCCAGGGACCCATTTCAAAACCTGTCAACCTTAGCAAGGGTGGGAGATAAAAAAGGNCAGGACCACGTTGAAGTCCTGAGTTCATATGTGATTTATTTCATATATCATTAACTCAACTGAGCTGATCATAATTTCGAGTGACTGACAGACTTTTAAAACCCATGTATATTCCTACAACAGATCATCTCATTTGTCATTATCACGTAATTAAATAGCAATTAATTTTATACAACGACTTTACATTTGATACACGGTGTACAAATAAAAGCAAAGTAGAGTACATACCAAATGAATACCTTGCTCAAACATAATAGCAGTGAAAGAAAAATAGTATTAACAAAAGTCAGTGACAGATATTTTCATTCAACAAAAAATAGTTATTGTCTGCTAGAGCAGAGCTAACATCAATACAGTTATAACTAAGCACACGACTGACAAACAAAAATGAGCCCTTTTTAGCACATTGAATAAATAAGTCTAATTAAGAATGATAAACCATGTTCCAGTGAATGAGAAACTGCCCTGTTATCTTTAGTTAGGGACACAAAGTCTATTTCATTTCAGCCTTGCACCTATGACATGATAAACATCACTCTCTTTCATTTCAGCATGATCTACCTTCTAATTTACTACCCCTTATAGTATTTTTTTGTTACCACACTGCAGGGCACTTTCAACACAGCTACTAGTAGTTTTAGCAGCAAGCAGTTGAAGCATATTCACATCACATCAGGGGGTACAGATAACCTAGTAAAACAGACCTGTTCTGACTAATAGCTGGTAATTAAAGGGCCAGTGGAGAGCTGGTTCCTGGAAGGTCATGCATTAATTTATTTTATTAGATACAATTAACTCTAAGCTCTTACCACCTCTGTCCAATGTTGACAATAGAATGGTATAATACCCAAAGCAATGTCATGATAAACATATTAGCACATCCAAAGACCACAACAACTCCTGAGAATAACATCCCAGTATACGCTAGTAGATCCAAATGTTCGTCAATTCTACTTTTATCAGTGTAAAGAAGAAGAGTTGGAACATGAAGAATTTTCCTCCAGCTGGTATCTGAAAAGTGACTTTCAATCCTCTTCAAGTATAGGTCAGATGGAAGAAGTCCATTTTTGCCTAAAAGTTGTTTGTTCTGGTTAGCTGCAACGGCAAAGCCCACAACTGCAGAAAGAAAAAAAAAAAGACAAAACGGAAAAATCTGTTAAAAGCTACACACTATGTATGTGTCCCTTCCTGCATAACACTAGCTCAATTAAGAGAGACTAATGTTTATAGGTTCTCCTCATGTGGCTTTTAGGCAAGGCTATGCACTGGCAGCACCCAGTGGACCCTAGTGCCTTAACCCTGTAGTGTATTATTGTTGCACCTTCAAACTTAAGGCTTTAATTAGCTAAACTCTTACTATCAAGCTTACAGGAAAACATGGCAGCAAAGTGCAAAAGGCTAGCTCCTTAAAATACAGTCACTGAAAAGACACTGACTGAGACTGCAGGCTCAGAAGCACGGGTGACACAAAACCTAACAGTTCATAATGTCCATACATACAATTGTCTTCTATGCATCACATCAAACCCTATAACTTTTCCTTTTCAATTTCATGCCATGCAGGATATCAAAGAGCTGGTGTCAACAAAACATAGATTCGATCAGCCTCTGGGAAGTTTTATATTTTATCCTCACCCCCTAAAAAGTTGGCTGTAAATCAAACCCCCAATGAAATGAAATCAGAAAGAGTTCATTGTTATTTTTTGTTTGCACCTTTGCCTACATTAAAATCTGAAAGGTCCACCTCAATGTTGCCAGCTTCTTTGCAGATAGAGTCTCCAGGGACCCATTTCAAAACCTGTCAACCTTAGCAAGGGTGGGAGATAAAAAAGGAAAAGTTCCTCTGTTACCCTATCATTAACTTACTTTTTGTCATATTTTGTATTAGGGAATGCTGAGAGATTGAGAGAGATTCCTACAAAAATGAGGTCGCAAATGGCACATCCACTTTGTACATTCGACCCTTATCAAAATTTCTGCACGGTGCAGTGCTAAACTGCATCATAAAGAGAGTGAAACTTTTTACTAAAAATTTGTAAACTTACGGTAGATAAAACTGAGAGATCTCAAAAGCACAATTCGTGTCAGCCAGTACGTCCCAGCTTCCACGTTGTCAACGTCAACTTTCGAAGACTTGTTTTCCTTTTCGACGTTCCGTTTCTCTTCCCTGCCTTTCTTCTCTCCATTAACACGTCCTTTTCTTTTCCTTATTGCGTCAAATACCTCCATGATATTCTAACACTCCTCAAGGAATCGAAATAAACAAAGATTTCTCGAAAGGGACCTCACTACTACCTCTACACCGCGATTCATTCCCCAGGCGCCATCTTGGTTGTTTACAGTATGGCGCCACGACAAATGGCGCGAGGTGATTGGAGCGGACCATTAAGGTTCGTTCCCGCGAAAATGCCTAACTCGAAAGAACTCGAAAGATATGTAATGCACCAGTCAATTGCAACCCCGGCCTCCCGACCCTTGCGGTATGGCGGGAGTTAGCGGGGATTCAACGCGGTTAATGTGTGTTAAAACACACATTTAACAACGTGTTGTCACCGGGGGTGCGGTGAAATTAACAAGATGCCTGTTCTTCGGAAGCGGGGACTGCAACCCACAACCAGGTCCCGGAATGACCCAAATAGTCGTGTTCCACTTACTTTCCAACCGGATTTCCCGAAACATTTTTGTAAATGGTAAAAAACCTGATTAAACTGGTCCTTAGCAGTTTAATCAGCCTAGTCCCTGAGCGTCCTGAACTCTGGTTCCCGAGGACAACAAGGCAAGAGGGAACGCCTAAGGACTGGGCTGGAGATTTTCCTATGATACCATAACGTAACGTAGCGCTCGCGAGTGAACCAGCGCTATTTGGGCGGGAAAACGTGATAGCCGATGTCATTCTCCTTCGGGTTTTAGCGAAAATGTCCGAGTGACGGAAACAAGTTATCAGTTGTTGGAAGTTTTATCATTTTAAAATCGAGAGAGGGCTTGACCTCCCTCAGTAACAATAATCGTCTTTACTTTTCTGGTGACAAAAGGGAAAATGAAGCTTTTTGGGGTGTCTATTTTTCGAGAAAATGCGAATCACGTCCTCGTACTCGTCCACTCCCTAGCATCTAAAGGTCCCCACTATCGACGGTATAGAAGGTCATCTATCAAGCTTTGCGTCAATTAGACATTATAACGGCAGAAATGTCAATGAATGAATGCACTGATAATCTTGAATGACAATCTCTTTATTGAATCGCTCAGCCACTGTCTCAAACCCAAACGCACTATCGGAGGTTAAACCGGCATAAACGCGAATGTAATGTCAGAAAGAACATTCTTTAGCACTGTTCAGATAAAAGACATTATCAAGTTTGCCGATAAAAGCTGAAGCCACGATCTTCACAACGCCATCGGCCACCTCGGTGTATCTCCCGCTGCATGGAGTTCTTGACACACGCTTGTTGTCGTGAGCGGAAAGTGATCCTTTTTTCTTGTCTCAGCTCGATTCCTGTTCACACTAACGTTTGTGTTAGCGTATGATCTCGCGTCTCATTCAGGGATTTATCCCAAGTTTTTATCTTTGACGCAAAGAATCAACCCCTTGTGATAAACGTTGGGCTGTCTACGTCCAACACGCTGTAAAATGAGATGTTCCCACCATCCACAAGGGCGATTTTGAGGGGAACAGGGGAACACTGTTTGGTAAGAAATGACAAAGCAGCAAGCGACGGTGGAGGGTCATAATACCTGAAACGAATCAGAGAGGTTAATTAGGCTCGTTACAAATATAATTAAAAAGTTAAAACTAGTAAAAAGTAGCTTGTTGATACCGATTAGTTTCATGAGTTCAATTGTAAAACTCTCAGCTGTTCAAAAAAGTTCAATACACTCGAACCTCGCGTAAACGACCCAAAGGGCAAAAAGTTAGTGGTGGGTTACGAAAGGTGTTCGTTTACGAGAATCGATCCACTACACAGGGGATCTCTTCCGAGAACAGGTTACGACACACCTACATTGTTTGGAAGAGAATAGACCTTTTCACAGTTTTTTTTAACTTTAGACATGAACAAGTTAGAGGAAATCCGTCGACACCACTGAAAAGCACACTTTAAGATTAGTACAATTGCCAAGTTTGAAAGCGATTTGTTGAAAACTAACTGAAGATATAGCTTTACAGATGTTTGTATGGTGAATATGTCCCCCCCCC